ACACATATATATATATATGTATTTCACATACCTATATCATTCCTGAACCCTACACCCTGAAGCACCATGTCTCTGCTCGCCCCTAGATGTTGAGAGGACCAACAGTCGGGCTTGCCAGTTCGGCATGCCAAGCGGCCCTCCAGGTCATCTGGCCCTGAGGCTCCGTTGCCCAAATCATGGGTTTGGGGAACCCTCAACCCTCCTAAACTCGAAACCTTAAGGTTGTCAGAGTTACTTCCGCATTTCCAACTTTAACCCTCTAGGCCTTACAGAGGTTTATGGCTACTCTTTCAGGGCATAGCCATCCTAGTTTGTCACTCGCGCCTCCAGCTAATGCTTCAGTGCTTATCAACCTCCAGGCTCATACCTTCCTGCACTACGACCTGCAACCGAAAGGCATACAGCACAGCAGAGATCGTATCAGAAGCTGACAAGCTTCTGGAATCAGAGAAGGACGTGTTGTGGTGGCCCTGTCTTTGCTTCCAGGGAGCACGTATGTTTAATGTCTGTACACAGTACAAGTGCCGAAAACACCGCAAGTATCGATTAGCATCGCATTTCAGCATGTCCACGTGTAGTATGTTAAAAAGCTACATATGCTGCACGAAAACCTGGTGTCCAGTTCTGTGATAATTTGCCCAGTTCCTTCATGGGATGTGGCACCATGTATATTGCAGGTTTACATCCTCCGAGGCAAACCCAACACCTCGACTTAGGAAAGTAGCCAGGACCTTCGAACCCGAGTGGCAAGAGCACCAAGTGCTAAGATCAAATATCTGTCAGTGGCGAGCGGATATAGCATAGCTTTATCTTCATACTTCACCCATAATTTTTTGGCTCCCGCTTACCCATATTTGAAGTACTATGTTCGTGATGCCGGGTTGTATGTCATATTGCTAGTGCCAGGTAGTGCTCAATCTTTTTGACCAAAACTCTGACCTAATACGGAACGAACACTTGTTCGGCATTTAATATTGGACAATGTGTAGCAAATATTGGAGCATTATAGATTGGTATGTAGGTTCTACATAGTTTAACGTTGCTTATCTGCTCGTCTGATACCTAACTAACGTTCATTAATGAGGTGTTTCTAGGAGTAACCATCATTTTAATCCGTTTAGCAAGCCATAATATGAAATGTGAATCGCAGCTTAAGCTGGCCTTAAGTTCACACACCCTGCCCAACATACCATATTCATGTAGCACTGAACTCAATATGTTCAAAAACTTTGCTTGCTATTAACCTAGTGCTGAGTTAAAATTTAGACACCAATGTAAAGAACCTACAGGTCATAACTCATCAGAGGTTATGCATGTGTAACCAGCATTCACGTAGCTGATGCTACTTGATATTACTTGAAGTTAAGCTGGTTACTGTTTCATTAACATTCGATCCAATGAAAGTTTCACGAGCAATTGATAGTATATGCATGTAGTGCTGCATGTAGCATGATAGGAGTTGTGCTCACATGAATACTGTGTTCAAGTTCTTGTCATTGTATAATTCTTCACGAAAAGTCCTCGCTAGAGTTTTCACAAGGCCTCCGTAAATAGGCTACTGTGTATTCAATAATTGTTTATTAAACTAGGCGGACTGAATAGCCATCTATCCAAATCTACACCTGATATTGATTAATGAGCACAGCTTTCAAACATCATCCATAGAAGGGTAGTGATACTACCTGAACGTTCTGAGCGGTTATGAATCACGCGTTCAAGTCAGTTCAGCGACCGCTGCTTAATACCAACCGGTACTATAACATGAACTGTGGCTACATGCTGCGCAAAAGCAACTGAAGATTGCGTATTCAATTTCATTGGTTAAGAACTGGCGTGTCATCGCTTTGACACTACATGGATATGATCACATTGAGCTTACATAAAACTGTACCTAAAGTATGCTCAAAAGAACAGTGGACAAAGTGCCGACTTTTTGCATAACTTAACAGTTAGTAGATAGGTGATCTCAGAGGAGAAGATAGCGTGAAACATGTTTTTGATGTGATACGACGTGGATGCCAGATGCTACACCAGGCTAAGGACATGTATCGCAAATGCTCAATACATGATTAACAGTACTTAAGGTAATCAGATGATGAGCTAGCCCTTACCCCAGATAAGTGCAACCGAAGGCAACAGCATTCTCAGAGGGCCTTGTGAGAATGACGGCAGCTTGACTGCAATCACCCCGCCGCCCCGTGTACTGTTCACTGTCTCATTTCCCCCATATCTTCTCACTGAGCCACATATTCAGAGGACTTCCCAACGATCCCTTCGAGATACTGAGCCGAGCAACTGTATAACAGGAAACTCAAGCTCGGCCGCAGAAGCACGCAGGTGGCGTGTAGTTGTCCGCAGCCTCGCGCAATTGGAGGACAATCTTTTGAGCCGATGGCCGCTGCTGATGGCTGATATGCCAACTTTCAGCCATCAGGCTTCGCAGTGCCATGTGGCACTCGGTAACGTTGGGCCTCGGCTCTTTGCCTAAGGAGAACTCTCTCAAAACAACTTCTGGATCTTTGGATATCTCGTGGAAAGGGTGCCGTCCGGAGCTCATGAAAAACATGATGAGGCCAAAGGCGTAGATATCCACCTTCTCGTTGTATTGCTGATGCCTGACGACTTCGGGCGCCATGTATAGCCAACTGCCAACTCCACCGGTCATGATGTACACGTCACCGACCACGGCTGCCATCATCTTCGAAATGCCAAGGTCTGCTATCTTCACTTCGCCGTGTCTTGTCAGCAACAGGTTGAGCGGCTTGAGGTCCCGATGAACGATCGGCTCCTCTCGGGTGTGCAGAAAGCTGAGGCCACGCGCAACAGCTAAGCTCCACTCCAAGAGCTGATGGAATTGTGGTCGCCACGTCGGCGTCTGGTGCTTCTTTCGCATGGCCATGAAGTGGCGCTCCAGATCTCCACCAGGCATGTACTCGGTGACGCACATGACAGGAGAGTCCCTGTCCAAGCAGGCTCCAATGAACAGGACCAAGTCTGGGTGCCGCAGCGAGGAAAGGAGTTCGATCTCGTGCAGCAACTCTTCCAGAAGGTCCTGGTTGACCTCCGAGGCATGGAGCGGACGTGATGCGGTTAAATCGAACTTCTCCTTGGAACTTTTTCGCTGTGGTTCGTCTTTCTTGTCGTAAGTCTCCGGGACCTCAACGCATTTCATCACAACATCTGTACCTTTCCATGTGGCTAGGTACAGTGTGCTCTTCAGCGTTCGGCTGAGCTCTCTTTGCATCTCGAGCTCGCTTCGGCGAAGCTTCCACCGAGCCTCCGCCGCGCGGCCAAGCAGCTTGCTTCTGCGACCGGGTCTCCTGCCGGAGTCTTCCGTGCACAGCGACTCCTTCGTTTGCACCGGCAGGTCGACGACTTCCACATCCTGGGTCTCGCACGTCTCACCGATTCGAGCCTTTTGTATGCGGAGGTGATCCTCGTCGCTGAGGACTGGCATGGCATTCACGGAGATTTGGCTGCTCTGACGGGAGGGTATCTCCTCCAACCCCTCATGGGCCTCCTCTGCGACTCCTGGATCTTCTATATGGGCCGCCCTCGGACTTGGCGAGCTTTCCACGCAGCACCAGAACATGGCTCTAGAAGTCCTGGATGGAACAAGGAAGCCAAGTAACCTCACTTCATTATAGGTGCAGTAGTGCACATGCAGGGACCTGCGCAGCTGCTGCTAATCTATACGATGGACACTACAGTACTGGTTGCAATGCCCTTGAGCCGCAGGGTGCCGCATTCTCGAGAATCAACTGATGCTTGTGACCATGTCTGGTGCATTCGCCTCTCTTCCCCTCTCTTGGCCATGTGCTGCATGGATCTGGACGCCAAGCAAGTCTCGCTGTAGCCCTAACAAATAGAAGTCTTAGCACCTCAAGACTTCATGCCAGAAGAACCACCCATGAGCTAAGATGAAACCGCAGCGCGAGACTCTCTGCTTCTCGGCTCAGGGGCATGTTGCGGACTTTCGGTTCTTCAGGGTTTAAGGTTTAGGAAGTTTAGGGTTTAGGGAGTCTAGCAAGTCCGAAGTATAAGAAGACGAAAGCTTGTTGATCTGCCTTGGCAGAGGCCTACGCCCTTGGGTGCAAAGTCGGCTTCAGCAAAAACACTAAGGCCATCAACATCTTTGTGTACGATCTCGGGCAAATAATCTGATCCCACCGATACAAAGACCACGCCGGATTCATGGTTTGTGCTCTCGCTGTTGTTTTTTGAGGGGGGAGGCATCGGGCGTCCCATTCTTCTGCTGCATCTGCCCTAAACCCTAAACCCCTAAACTCTAAACCCTAAACCCTAAACTCTAAACCCTAAACCCCCCTAAACCCTAAACCCCTAAATTGCACGAAACCCCCCGGAGCTCCTTGAGCTGCGCCTCGCTCCGCTGGAACTCACTGGCCTTGTCAGGTCCCGGGGTTTAGATCGAGGTCCCCATGGACTTCAAGGTGTAAATAACCTACCAATCAACCTACCAACCTGAAACTACTCATTTACATTGGTAAATTGTTAAATAGATAGATTGATAGATGGATAGATGGACAGATGGACAGATGGATGGATGGATGGATGGATGGATGGATGGATGGATGGATGGATGGATGGATGGATGGATATGGATGGGTGGATATGGATGGATGGACGGCTGGGTAGATAGATAGATGGATAGTTTGATAGATCTATCTATCTATCTATATATGTATAAATCTTATGTGTACATTATGAACCATTATGAACCAAGTGTGAGCCATATCCCACGTTCAAGGGGGCCCGGCCTGGCGCTGGAAATCAGCTCCCTGGGTCTCGGCATCCTGCTTGAACTTGGCCACCTCAACTTCATGCTGGGTCTGCAGCTGCTCCTCAGCATCTTTGGCCGAGGTGAGCTGCGACCGGAGCTGGCGCAGCTCCTCGTTGTGCTGCTTCTGTATGGCGGATTTCTCCTCCTGCCACGCCTTCTCCGCCTCCTGCCGGAGGTCCTCGGCTCGTTTCCGCTCTTCCTCGGCGGCTGCGAGCTTCGCCTGCTCCAGCTTCTGTCGCTCCTCTTCCAGGCGACGCTCCTCGGCCTCCTTGGCAAGGCGGATCTTCTCTTCCTCCAATCGCCTCCTCTCTTCCTCCTCCTCTCTCTGGAGCCTTTCCTGTTCCTCCTTGTCGCGCTGCTCCTGCTCTCGCCGCTGCCGCTCCTGCTCCTCTCGCGTGGCCCGCAGCTTCTCCAGCCTCTGTCGCTCTGCTTCGGCCTCCCGCTCATCCTCCGAGTCCACCTCGCCGTCTTCCGTGGCTGCCCCGGGGTTGGCGGCGATGTAGGCCCGGAACAATCGGCTGCGCTTCCGCTGCCCGGGCTTCATGCGGTTCCACAGCTGGACGCGTGCCAGATACCTGCGCAAACAAACTGACAACCAAGGCGCCATGAAACGTGGAAGGTGCATCCTTCACGTTCCGTGCCTGCGAACAACCGCCTGGACGAGGATGGCCTTGCTTCGGATCATGACGAAGATGGTGCGGAAGATGTAGACGCGCCAGGCACGCTGCAGACAGGGGTCAAGCATGAAACATGTACAGCTGCAAATAGATGCAACGAGCTGCAGTTCCTGAGTCAAACTGAATTCTCGTAACGCACCTGGATCTTCTTGGCTGAGTTTCCAAGCATCGCCATCCGCATGCCTGGCGCGAGCATGCAACTCTGACTGCACATAGCGGCATTGCACATGGCAAGTGCCCGTGCATTGCACTGCGGAGCTTTTTCGGCCCGCTTGGTTCGGCTCAAGACAAGCTCGGGCGTTGGCTTCATCCAAGGATGATCGTAGCTTGCAAAGTGCGCGGGGCTGTGCTGTGTGCAGGAGGGCCCCAGGTCACACTGAGGTCTCTTCAGAGGGGGAGAGCACCCAGCTCCAGCTTCGAAGGGAAAGTAGTCAATACCCGGTACACGCCGAGTCAGCTCAACTTCTCGGATTCCTGCGATGCCACTTCCACCAGGCGCGCCCTGCCAGAAGGCACGTCGGGCCGGCGATGTCGCACGGAGGCAAAGCTGGCAGAGGTCGCCATCGGCAAGACGCACCCAGCCAAGACCTGCCGGTGCACCGACCGACGAGATCGGTTCAGTGCCGTGGCCACGAACAAGCAGCCAGCAACTCTCCACCGGCTGACTGCAGCGCCCGCAGACCGGTGCATGGCTCCGCTTCTTCGACTTCGCATAGCGCGAGGCTTTCGGCACTGGCATGGTGGCAGGGCAGACGTTCACCGAATCGAAACAGGCGGCAAAGTCGTCGAAAAGCATCCAAAAAGATCCATCTTGCTGTCCACTGTCTAGCCTTTGCCCTCCACGTTGGCAGATGTCTCGCGCAACATGGGAGTGGAGCTTCCAAGCATCGGACCCGCGGGACCACCGACCCTTCCATTCTTCCTTGCCCCATGGGTTGCGCAGCCGAATGAATCGTAAGCTATGTACTTCTTGAACCTCCAACACCGAATATGCATGGCCTTCGATGAGGCCATCATCCCTGCGTCGTTCAGTCATGCCCCCTTTGGTTATGGAAGCGGCCAGGAGGAAGTTCGCCTGTTCGTAGTATGCCAGGCGTAGAAAGAACTGCTCTAGAGGAAGTGTCCGGTTGGTGATTTCCAGTGCGGCACCTTTGACATGTGATTTCGACCAGATGGGCGTCTTGAAACGAAGCCTCCTGCAGGGATTTCGTGAGATTCGGGCAACAACTCTTCAACTGGACAGCTCTCTCGCTAGAGGTCCGATGCCAGAACTATACCGTTGCCCTGCGTGTCGATGAGGGCCTAAGGGTCGCCGTGGCGCTATGGTCCAGGATTGCCAGAGCCAGAGTACGAATATCCCACCTATACACCTGTATTACAAAGAGACCCCAGTAAGTTTGAGGCGCGGCCAACCTCCACTGCCCTCCTTCCCGCTGCCACCGGAGTTGTTCGCGTTGGCCCGTCAGCGCTTGGAAGGCGAGCTCCGGAACCCCACCTGTGCATTCCAAGCCCTGCTAACAAAAAGCTTCACGTTGCGTGAAGACTTCAGCACGCATGGATTATGGGCTGGGGGTCGGCTCAGCTTCGTCAAGAGACATTTGCAGAACTTGTTCATTTGTGTGCTGGGCTGTTCTTTCTAAGTAGTTGCAGGTCTCTTTTCCAAACATCATCCCAAACATCATCCAATCCACCCCGCCACCTAAAGCCTGTCAACCCGCAGAAAACAAGATGCAGGCAAAAGACTCTGATCCAGCCCTCAACACCCGCCAATGACTTCTGGGCTTCGGGAACACACGCTCAACCTAGTTCATTCCGAAGCTGGGCTGCCTCAGATCTATTGGAATATCATGCTTGGACCACAATAAACTACATTTGGCAACAGCTCTTCAATCGAGGCGTCAGGAGAAGCATGGAGTTTAGGTTTAGGGGTACGACTACTAAAGTGATCATCGGCGGCGACCTAGCAACCCACTTCTAGCTTGCTCCATCCTAAGACGGTCCGAGTTGAAGATCAGATCGCCTTCCAAAGCGCCGTAGGACCCAGCCAGCTTGGCAAAGGCTTTCCTTGGGTTTGGTTCAATGGGTTTGGACGCTGGCAACTCGGACTCCTGAGGCTATAGTTTTTTGACCCGATAGAGACGGTTGTTTGAGTTTGAGTTCTGGAGGGGTTTAAGATGCAGGCATTTCTCCTCGCCGGTCGCTTCTTTGCTTTTTGCTTGCTTGCGCGTTCTCGCTGGTTCCTTTGGTGGCTCTTGCTTTCGCAGAGCCAGGGCCGAACCCCTCTAAGGGAGCACGCCCTCCTGTGGTGGTCTGCTTGGGGTGGATCAGCTTGGCGTGTTTCGACCCCCTTGCTCTGCCCTCTGGCTCTCCGTTTCTCCCCTCTCTCTCTGTCGCTCTCAGCCCCCACTCAGTTCAACTTTGTTGTTCTGACTTTGCACAGGCGAGAAGTTTACTTTAAGCTCTCAGTCACCCTTAAATCCCCGGAACCCATCTCTTCGGCTAAGCTGCTCCATGAGCAGGGACCACACTTCGCCTTCCACAGGTTGTGAAAAACAGGGTTTGTCCCCTGCAAGAAAGCTGCCAGGGCCGGCCCAGAAAGGTAAGGAGAAGCAGGGCACCAGGTCATCGATCTCAATCGCTCGCCAACCTTTCGCCGCCACACATCTCACAGCACGAATCTACCATCAAAGTGGACATCAACGTAGGTGTGCTTGCAATACAGGTCATACAGTGTGCCATACATGTTTATTGTGTGACTATGTTCATACAGAACATGAACAAAAGAGAGAGAGAGAGAGAGATAGAGAGAGAGAGAGGTAGGTAATGCTAGAAACAAGGCAAAGCAGAATGTCAGCTGCGACCCGGGATGCCGGACTCGGTGTGGTAAAGCTGAACCACATACCGTCCGTCTGCCGACAGAGTTGAAGGTTCAAGCAGCATCTCTACATGACCGGGAAAATCCGCGACACAGGCCAAGGCCCCAATGAGCCAGCAGTTGCCCAAGGAGCCTTGCCGCACGTTGCTTGAATATTCACGGGAAGAGCCGGCGGCGGAATGCCCAAAGAGGGTTATCTTTCCTTGCCCGCGAATGTTGCTCACACGAGTCCATGCGATGTCCAACGGAGGCAACCGTCGGGCTGGCCCCAGCGATGCCTAGGTTTCCAATAACAATAACTTCTGCATCATGTGGGTAGACCCCGAACTTTGGTCAAAGACTCAGGCCCACGAGACACCCGGAAACACCTAAAAGCCTCGGACCTACGCAAAAAGATGCTTCTGCTCCAAGGATGCTTTGTTTGGAGGAAATGCACTGTCTACGAACCGGTGGACAGCCTCGCAGTAGACGAAATTGCTCCTAAGCCACTCCCGGTTGGTCTTTGCCTTTACTTCTGTTCTTACACCCGTCCATCCATCCATCCATCTTGCACACCTACATGCAAGAAAAAAACACACAAAGACCTGCACACACATGCACGCATGCATGGTGTTGCTGCTAATTCCTTTGGTGCGACGTGGTTTCATCACTGGTGCACATGCATCTTCAAAGTCAGTACTAATACGCAGAGAGTTTCTTCGTCTCTTCGCCTTACACTAAAGTGAACTATGTCAATTACATTTGTTTCTTCCTCGCACCACAGTTGTCGTGATGTTGTTGGCAATGCTTCTCCACAGACTCTTTCCGGGCGAGTATGCTTACAGCCTTGCAACAGCGAGCACGAACAACCGCGCAACCAAGCGACCACATGCGCGACGACACCCTGATCCCCAACCCGACATGGAGCCCTCGACACACGACCAGCACCTCAAACCCGCGAAGCCCGCCATGTGAAGTTGGCCAAAAGCTTCCAGTCTCAGCCTTCCAAGACACACATAGCCCTAGACCCTTTACAATAGTGCTACCGCGATTTTTTCAGGGCAGACTGCGACTTGACTTAAGCTCAGCCCGACTAAACCCTAAGCTGCGTCCTCGGTCGTCTGCGTCTTTCAAGAAATCCATGCAGTCGCCACTTCCTGGATCTGTAGAACACACTTCCGACGGACGGGGGGGTTAAAGGCGGTTTTGGGGGGCTTGAAGAAATTCAGTTTAAGTTACACTTTTTGGAACTTACGTCGCTTTAGGAGAGCATATATATATATATACATATACATATACATATATATATATATGAGTTGCTGGAACAAGGTAGAGCTCGCACAAGTTGCGGTACAAAAAACTAACCTAATATAACTAAACGTGAGTTTTACAAGGGTTGTGTCAGGTTGTGCGAGCTACCAGAATAACAGCACTCTAAATATGCATTCCTTAACCATTCTCAATAATCCAAAAATACCCTTAAGAAGAACCCAGGTTCAGGTCCACCAATCCACAGCCTCGGCTTGGAAGAATCAGGGGGTTGCCTCATACTGATTTAAATATGGTTGTTTGGTGTTACTAGACTATGGTTGTGATAAGGAACCGTAATTAGGAGCATCACTAGTTACTAGCTATTCAAGCCTCTACCGTTTTGTTTACGGCTGCCCCCTAAACCTAACACCCCGAGGCCCTCTTTAAACCCTAACCCCAAGGCCCTCTAGACCCGAGCTCCCTGAGAAGATTTCGCTCAAGCTTGCTGCAAAGGCTGAGGCGCTGGACCAACATAACTGACAATGGGGTTTGATGTCTAGGGCTTACGGGTTGAGGGGTCTAAGAATTAGGAAAGGGTTAGGGGTGTATCTTACCACTACTGCAAGCAGGACCACTGCAGCTAGAAAGAGCAATGTGCGGGAAAAAGGCCTCCCAAGTGACAGTGCATCAACCCCAATGCCGAAAGATATTTCCGGCACCATGCAGACAAGGTGCTGACATGCAAACCGAGCATGTCAGTTCAAGCAGACGACGCTGGGCATAGATGGCTTCATGCATCTCGATCCGAAATAAACGGCCCCGAAATGGCAAAGAGGATGTTCCGATGACTGTACTCAATGGAGTGGCTGCGGCTCGCGCAAGCACAACAAATCGGGACTCAAGTAGACAGTATACACAGCAAAGAGGGCTGCCCAGACCCACGGGCCTTCGATGGTTTCATAGGCCACCTGCTTGAAGAAGACCTGTAGATAAGGCATGAGGATTGCGACTTTCCGGACCGGGGTGAGGAGGCTGAGGGCTCGCATTGGTAGTGTTGCATTTTGTCGCTTGCACGAAACACAAATCCATCTACTCAGTGGAAGCCTTAAACTAAAACCTATAACCCAAACCCTAGACCCGATTGTAAACCCTACACCGACTCAAAACTAGACCCTCAACTCATCCGGCCATCTGTGCAAGCCCGGGCGCCGTGGTCTTGCCAATGGAGTACAAGGGCATGCTGGCAGGCCACTTCAACTCCTCGCCATGCTCCCCAGGGGGCATTATAAGACATTGTAAGATGTTGTAAGATACTATGTGCATTATAAGATACTATAAACGCTTGCAGCGTTTAAGACGGTCTTTTTAGCTGCTCTGCGGTGTTCTATCAGTATTGTTCAGCCACTCTCTGAACCTCTTTCCACTTTCGGGCTCGTGGGCCTCAATGGCGCAGGCTCAGGATTTGGCGCCAAGGATTCCAGCACGCTCTGGAAACCTGTCTGATCACGATGACGAGCCTTTGGAGCCGTTGCAAAGAACCTACACCCAAACACTCTTCCGCATCAGAGGCCCTGCGTGCCCCCCCTTAAACCTCCCGAACGCAAAACATGCTAAAGCTAATAGTGAAAAAGCCAGCAACTCCGAAGAGTCGATGATCCCAAGGAGGCTTCCAGGTATCTGCTAAGCCGAATAAGTGCAGCTCGCTTGCCTTGGAAAGCTGCGCCAGAGATTCTTTGAGGCCTCTGGAGCACTTTTGAGCAAACAATCCTTGAGCATGAGCCACAATAGCATTTTGGAGGGTTTAGGGGGTGTTGATGATTTTCAAGAGTATTGCGAAGGGTTGTGGGTGTTCATGCTATGACATGACTATCGTTGGAACGGCTTTCAGCACTGAGGCGGGTCTCACTATGACACATGACCCAATTGAGGCCATAGCCTTCCACGAACCTCGAACTTTGCAAGACATGAATTTGAATTGGGTCCTGATTACACATCAGGTGAAGTAGCTTCGTCTCAAAAGGTCCACTACTGCGCAGGTCGTGGGTGCGCAGAGGAGATCACCCCCTGAGTGGCTTCAAATTGTACATGAAGCTGCTTATGGGCAATTGCGTGGAAGACGCTGCAGGGTCCTTACTAACTATCATTAAGCGTGACCTCCATGTCGTGAATGCGACGTGGATGTGGCATGGCGCTTGAAATGATTCGGATGGAGGCAGCCCGATCGAGTCCGTTCGGATCAGCCGCGCAAAAGAAGATAATGACCACAGAGGCCGAACACTTGAATCATCAGCAATTCTCATCATGTGCATGTCACCGAAAAGATGGCATGGGGCAACCCCTCCCCTGAGACTGCGGCAAGCATCCAGAGGCAGCTTTCCAAACCTTTCCCGCTCCTCCTTGGCGAAGGCCACGCCAAATGATCCCCATTACATGAGCTGGAACCTGCAGCTCTGAATTCGCCTGGCTGGTTCCGCCCTGTCCCCGTACCCTGCGCCTAAATCTTCCTGTAAGCAAGAGGAAGAAAAAAGAAAAAAAAACCACCTGAACAAAGCCGTGGCATTTCTGGACTCTCGAAGCTGCCCTGAGCCCCGGTCTGACTTGAAGATGATGCTCAGGAACTCCTCTCTGCTCTTGGAGGAAAGCTCTTCCAGACTCAAAGCTTCGGGGGTTTCGGTGTTGTGGGGGGGTTTCTGGAAGGGGCAGCGCTCGGGCGGTACATTGACAGAGAAAGGCCCTGAGAGGAAGAGTGCATGCAAGGCCGATATCACTGACATGAGTGGAACGGTTTAGGGGGGTTTCAGCTGTCGGATCCTCACGAGCTCATTGCAGTTCTTGAGCCTGAAAGCCCCGGGCACCAACGCGCAAAAACGAATCTGAACCGCTCCTGCAAGCAACTCGACCTACGAAGTGCGACACGGAGTCTGAAGCCACGGCCTCCTACCCCGAAACCTCCCCCGAAAACATCCGATATTGTCCCAGCACCGCCCCAAAAACTCTGCCTTCCAGCAGGACTTGTGAAGGCTCCTCGGGGCCATGGTATTCTGTTTTTTGGAGGCATGGAGGTCTCGGGGACCTGCCCGATATGTTCTGATCTCCGGGTCCTTCTGGGGGCTTTCGGCGGCCAAGGGCTCTAAAGAACAGCATCTACTTCTTGCCACAAGGAACGGAAGGTCAGATAGCTGAAATGGAGGCATGCTGCCCTGGCACGCACGAAACGACTTGTAACTCTGGGCCATGTAGTGCAGAGAGCTTCCAGACAGCTACAGCAGTAGCCACTGCCATGCGAAGAGTAACAACGTCCCACTCCGCTGCCGACCCCAGCATCAACACGCTCGTCCTGCATGGGTAGCCGGCCCGCTGCACGTGCAAAGCTTCCTGGAAAGGCAAAAGGACCCTGTCGTGGACCACCAGGATGTATGCAAGGCTGTATCTAAGTCTGCCCCAGTGTCTTGCTCGCCAATTTCACCTCTCTTCCCCGAAGCCCAGGGCTCTAAACACGTTTTGCTTCTGGACTTGGGAGGTCCCTAAACCCTCAAACACTACCTGCGGCTTCACTATCATATGTTCATTAAAAGCCCAGGATCGATCACGCCGCCGGAACGGAGCTGCTCGACCACCAGCTGTCGCTCCAGGCGATCTGCGGTTCTTAGGCTCGACGTTTTCATAGTGCATCTCCACAGCTCTTTTGGGGTTTAATCCATTTAGGGCTAGACCGCCCTGACGTGAAACGCTTCGGCCGCTTCGGCGTTTTGAATCCCCGTCTTGCACTCAGACGAGAATTCCGGGCGTGGACCGAGGAGGGGTCTAGAGCTAAGAGGAGCACTCATGCATGCGG